GAAATGAAAGAAAATGGAGTGGGATGGTGGATCTAGGGTGCAGACCTACCTTTCTATCCTATGCTTCGACGCGCAGTTCTCGAGAAAGGGAAGCGCTGGCTTTCGTTTTGCAGCTTCTCAGGTTGAAACAGAAACTCTCCCAAAACGGTGGACCAAACCAATTGGGGAGGTTTATGTCGAGATTTTGGAATTTTGGACCATTAGGTCTTTTGAATTGGAGGCCCCGAGGCTGAACAAACTAATCGGGTGAACATCCTGCGTTTACATTGTCTTAAACTCTCAAGCCTCTATCAGGAGAAATCAGAGACTCCAAAGACCCAGCCAGGATAGGTCAGGATAGGGCACCCTGACTCGGCAGGCGTATTTGGGCGTCGAATTGTGGTCTAAGTCGGCCATTTAAAGAATTGTCTTTTGGTTGAATTTCCTTTACTTCAGTGGTGCAAAGTATAGTCTTTGGACTTCGGTGATACAAATCTATGTATCATTTACCGTGGATTGAAAGACTCAAATAATCTCCCATTCGAGTCTGTGGATGTTTACCTTTTTGATGTCCTTGCATGATCAGCCCTCTTTACAAAACAAATCACGCAATGAGGAACAAAGGAACATATAACACACAAAGTGTGACAGAGCAGAGCACAAGCCTTGTGATGACCCTCTCATGTATGCATAAAACATACCAACAAGTCTTGTCATGAAACAAAACTTAGACCCCTGGGTCCGAACAATCGTCTAACTCAGAATCCAGCACGGCTATCTCCAAGGATCCTGGTGGCGATCTCCCTCCTTCTGCAGTTTCTCCTACCCTTGAAGGGTGTCACCGTCGACGTGGGCCATGAACAGCTGTGGTACCGCGCGCGGCTCCGGGCTACGGCAGCGTCGCGGCTGGAAGTTTCTGGCCAGGTGGCCACATTAGACATTTGGCCACGTGTGGCCATGGCGCCACAAATCAAAAGCATAGTTTTTTAAACGTACAACAAGCTAATGTAGGTTCATGCAGCTGCACCAAAGACCCAGCAGTTCTTCATCGATTGGATTCGCCTTCGTCCCCTTTTTCAGGCTGTTCACAAGCCATCCCAACTCCCAGAAGAAGGCCCCACTCTGTTCCTGCCCACCCGCCCACCATCCCAACGGCGGTCAGGCAGAAACGTCCCCACGTGGCTGTGGGTCATGGCACCTGGGCATCCTGGTTGACCACCGAAAACGAACAGATTCCTCGAGAACCTGGATCCACAGACCGAACCAGGTCGGTACGGTAAAACACGGAGACTATTGATGTAGGCTTGGAAAGCCCAGTTCTACCGAACCTGAGAAGGTATGTGGATCCATTTTGGGTATAATGGATGTCTTCCATTGTTTGGTGGGTGGGGTGCCATGACCCACAGCGCCGCGAGACAGGTGCCCATGCACTTGACCTTGGCCTACTTGAAGCCCAAGCTTCGCGGAACACCTTTCGAACGATCTCACTTGGAGCCGGTGCTCAATGGTCTCAACGCCGCCATGGTGTGCATCATCGTATCTCGAAAAAAGAGGGAAGAAGAAGCTGAGCATGTGTTTTTTTTCAAGTGGTGAAGCAGCCCAACAAATTGGGCAGCAATAGAATGCTATGTGCCAGGAGTCACAAAGGGGTGCCTATTGGAGGTTAGGGTCCACTCACTTAGGGACCAAACACCGCCCCTTTGTGACCCCTGGTGCACTCTCCTACCATCTCCTACCATTTAAAAGAAAGATTGAGCCTCTAGCCTGGAATCCCTATATGCAAACAATGGTTGTTGGGGAAAAACAACAAGAACATTAAATCAATGGGGGTTGGGATTCAGGGCGGGCGTTGTTCCCTTGGGAAGTCTTTTAGTTCAGAAGTTCAGAATCTCCACTATAGTATAACGTACTATACTGCTTGGTTCCTCACCGTTTCAATGGACGCGACCGCACTGACTCCAAGACCATCCATCACATGCTTTGAGCTTTTCCAGAGCTCGGTTCTCAAGCTTTCAGAGCTGTCTTAGATGGTCTTAGTCTTGACATGTCTTGACAGATACAACTGCTAGGGCTCCAGTCGTACCTCCTCAGAAGGTATACGACTACTGGACCCTCCAAACCCTTCCCAAACACCTAAGAAGGTACGACTGGAGCCCTATAGGGGCCAGCAATTCCATGTCGGGATGCCTATTGGAGGCCTTCCGGTTTTGCCCCCTGTGCACCTTCACTCCCTCCAGGGTCCAAAGAGGCTCGACCCCCCCAAAAACCACCGAAAACTCCGGAACTCTTGGTGGTATAGACAGACCCCCCAAAGCATCCACCAAAATCATCAGATCGCATAGGGTGGCCCCGTGGCGGGCTTTGGTTGCGCTTTAGGTTTGGTCCCTGGACCGTCAGTGGCGCACCAGCGGCGTGCGCGACGCCCTGGACGCCCTGGAGAGCGACGCCGCGTCGGACGCTGGGAGTGAAAGGGCGTGTCGTTTTTTCCCGAATGCGTAGCGAAGGGTTCTCGTTTAACTCTTGGGGGTCTGGGGGTAGAGCCTTGTTCGTGACCCGTTGTTTCTAAGTTCGCAACCGTCCGCAACCGTTCGCAACCGTCCGCAACCGTCCGCAAGTGTTCGCAACCGTTCGCGGTAGAGCGCTAAGGCGCCGCCATTGGGGGAAGCTTTTGCAAGTGACTTTTCATGGATGTCACGTGTTAGTTTGCGCCGCTATTCCATTGTGATTTGCATGAAAAAGACATGTCGCGCAAGCAACGTGATGCGTTTCGCTGCACAGGCGCAACGCTTGGTGAGATCTGCAGATTGCTGCGCAGTTCCATTGAGATTAGCGTTTGGAGAGTTGTGTTTTTGGGGTGTTGGATGTGGCCGTGCCATTGGGATTTGCGTTTCAGGGTGTGGCATCGAAGCTCTGTTTTCGTAACAAGTCTCAGCTGAAATGCCGATTTTGGTGGATGGCAGTGTGCTCAGAACGGGTCGAAGTCATTCCAAACGTGTGGTGTGGTGCAAATTTTGTTGAAGCTCACATGAGATGACATTGTTACTTTTCGTGGCAGGCGCAGGACTTTGTGCGGGTTTTGAGCTGTGGAAGTGGGATTTTCGTGGCAGGCGCAGGGAATCGTGAGGTTGCGATGTGTGATGGAGGTGACATTTCGTGGCAGGCGCAGTACTTTGTGCGCGTTAGACGTGTGGACGCGGAAAGATTCGTGGCAGGCGCAGGGAATCGGGAGGTTGTGAGTTGTGGTAGAGGTAGAGGTGAATGTCGCTGTCACATTGGGATTGGCGTGTGAGCGGGTGTCGTTTGGAGGGGCTGGAATCGCAAAACTGCTTGGCAGGGCTGCGTGATGTGTGTGCTCCAATGGGTGTTTCCGCTGGACTTTTGGAGGAAGTCTCGTGCGAAACGTTCGTTTTGCAGACTTTGACATGTGAGTTTTTGAGGAAGTCTCGTACGAAACGCTCGTTTTGGAGACTTGACGTGTGACTTTTGGAGGAAGTCTCGTCAGAAACGCTCGTTTTTGAGACTTGACGCGTGACTTTTGGAGGAAGTCTCGTACGAAACGCTCGTCTTGCAGCCTCGCAGCGTGACCTTTGGACGACGTCTCGTACGAAGAGTGTGCCCTACAGGAGTGTCCCACAAGAGAGTGTCCCACAAGAGTGTCCTACAAGAGTATCCCACAAGAGTTTCCTACAAGAGTGTCCCACAAGAGTGTCCCACAAGAGTGTGCAACAAGAGTGTCCCGTAAGAGTGTCCCACAAGAGTGTCCTACAAGAGTATCCCACAAGAGTTTCCTACAAGAGTGTCCCACAAGAGTGTCCCACAAGAGTGCCCCACAAGAGTCTCCTACAGGAGTGTCCCACAAGAGTGTCCCGTATGCGTGTCCCACAAGAGTGTCCCGCATGTCCCACAAGAGTGTCCTACAAGAGTGTCCCACAAGAGTGTCCCGTAAGAGTGTCCCACAAGAGTGTCCCACAAGAGTGTCCCACAAGTGTGTCCCACAAGAGTGTCCGACAAGAGTGTCCCATAAGAGTGACCCACAAGAGTGTCCTACAAGAGCGTGCAACAAGAGTGTCCCGTAAGAGTGTCCCGCAAGAGTGTCCTACAAGAGTGTCCCACAAGAGTGTCGTACAAGAGTGTCCAGTAAGAGTGTGTCACAAGAGTGTCGCACACGAGTGTCCCGCAACCATGTCCCACAAGAGTGTCTCACAAGAGTTAAGAGTGTCCCACAAGAGTGTCCTATAAGAGTGTCCCACAAGAGTGTCCCACAAGAGTGCCCTACAAGAGTGTCCCACAAGAGTGTCCTACAAGAGTGTCCCACAAGAGTGTTTCACAAGAGTATCCCACAAGGGTTTCCTACAAGAGTGTCCTCTCAGAGTGTCCCACAAGAGTGTCCTACCAGAGTGTCCCACAAGAGTGTCCCGCAAGAGTGTCCCAAATGAGTGTCCCACAGGTTTCTCACAAGAGTGTCCCGTAAGAGTGTCCCACAAGAGTGTCCCACAAGAGTGTCCCGCAAGAGTGTTTCAAATGAGTGTCCCACAGGAGTGTCCCACAAGAGTGTCCCGCGACAGTGTCCCGCAAGAGTTTCTCACAAGAGTGTCCCTTAAGAGTGTCCCACAAGAGTGTCCCGCAACAGTGTCCCACAAGAGTGTGTCCCACAAGAGTGTCCCACAAGAGTATCCCACAAGAGTGTCCTACAGGAGTGTCCCACAAGAGTGTCCCACAAGAGTTTCCTACAAGAGTGTCCCACAAGAGTGTCCCACAAGAGTGCCCTACAAGAGTGTCTCACAAGAGTGTCCTACAAGAGTGTCCCACAAGAGTTTCCGAGAAGAGTGTCCCACAAGAGTGCCCCACAAGAGTGTCCCACAAGAGTGTCCTACAGGAGTATCCCACAAGAGTGTCCTACAAGAGTGTCCCACAGGAGTGTCCCACAAGAGTGTCCCGCAAGAGTGTCTCACAAGAGTGTCCCACAAGAGTGTCCCACAAGAGTGTCCCGCAACAGTGTCCCGCAAGAGTGTCTCACAAGAGTGCCCCGTAAGAGTGTCCCACAAGAGTGTCCGGCAACAGTGTCCCATAAGAGTGTCCTACAAGAGTGTCCCACAAGAGCTTCCTACAACAGTGTCCCACAAGAGTGCCCCACAAGAGTGTCCCACAAGAGTGTCCTACAGGAGTATCCCACAAGAGTGTCCTACAAGAGTGTCCCACAAGAGTTTCCTGCAAGAGTGTCCCACAAGAGTGTCCCACAAGAGTGTCCCGTAAGAGTGTCCCACAAGAGTTTCCTACAAGAGTGACCCACAAGAGTGTCCCACAAGAGTGTCCTACAACAGTGTCATTTGGACATATGTAGCTTTTTGAACGTGTTTGCATTCGGGTTCGTGGGCTCCATCTTGTTTTTTCGGGAAGACCGCCAAAGACGGAAGAGGCGAGGAAGTGGTCGTTGGGTTTTTACAGGTGGTGAGGTGGTGTTGATTTTCACCCAAAAGGGTGAGGAACCGACCTGATTTTACAGTTGGTCATCTAAGAACACTACTAATAACTCACTCATGCAATATGGAGTTTTGAGGGCCAGGTTTGGACCTGGGTCAGACTGGAGGACCTGTAGAGATTGGTTGGTTCAGTGTAAAATTGGATCGGTATGGTGTTTGGAGGGGGTCCATGTATACGGTTTGCTGCCAAGATGCCAGCATGAAACATTAGCTTGTGAGAAGGGCAAGCGGAGCAGTTGAAAGTTAGCTCTAGCATGCTCTAGCAAGTTTCCATTGGACTAAGTACTTGACTACCTTGACCCTCCCATTTCGAGTCGTCTTAGCCCGGGTGGGACCCGTCCTCCTTCGGCCGACCGGGTCGAGTCGCCGCCCCTGGCGTTTCGGTGGAGAAGGGACCCGAAAACGGAGCCTGTTTGGGTCCGAAACCCCGGGCACCGTGGTATCGGTGGGCTTCTGGTGCTCCGGACAACTGACCCGTCACTGGTCACCGGTCACTGCCTGAAAACAAATGGTGGAATTCAGAACACGGAATCACGGAACCGAAAAAGATCAACATGTCATGTCGTATTCTACGGAGCGTGGTCATACAAAAGCACGGACCGAAAGATGTCCAAAGGCAGGTTTGGACCTGGGTCAGTCGGACGTATGTAGGGAATAGCTGTAGGCAGATGCGACCGGATGCGCTTGGAGGGGGCATCGGTAGGGGACCGCCTTTGGGACGATTTGTTTGCTTTTGTTGCGCCCCCGCCATGTCTGGGATTTGTTCCATCCTCATTGTTTTTGGGAAGGTGTTGGATTTGTTAAGTCTAGTAGTATTGTCATGGTCCAGCACCATTTCATCCCCTCAAGGAAACCGCTTCTGTTCAACCACGGATTTGACACGATCGGTACCAAGACCTTCAGGTCGTGACCATACTTTGTAGATCTTTGTAGTTGTTTGTTTGTCACCTGTCAAACAGGCCTGTTTGAGACCTCAATCAATTCTGATCAAGTTCGCTTACTGATCCTAGTATAGAGGATATCAGGATCTTGTGCCAAAAGTCTTCCACTTCCGGACCAACTTGTGGGAAGGTTGGTTCATTCATGCATCATCTGTCGGCAGCGATCGCTAGGAAGAAGCCCAGCCCAGTGAGGAAGAACGCTGACCGCGTCTTGCTGTCTTCGACGATCCCGCGACGCGCGACGGTCGCCAGCTTTGTGTTCCTTGCACGGCCTGTGTTTGAATCACCCAAGTCATTCCACCAGTTGTCACATCAACCAGGGCTGGGTCAAGCTGGTGTACATCGTCCGATTGCGGATGCGACTGCTTCGCCCAAAGCTGGCGGAGTGGAGGCGAGTCAGCACCGATGCGAGAAAGAGACGTGGAAGCAGCGGCCGTGTCCCAGACTTGGAAGCTGAATAGATCCCAGACACTCCACCCCATACCACCCCAATGTATGTAAATATGGCAGTCCCATGCAGTGTATGTTTTTTTTGGCTGAATCTTCAAACACTTCTGCAAGACTTGGACCGACACATCTCTTGAGTCCAAAAAGATCCACTCTCAAAAGGCGCAAGGATTGTTGTTTTGTAGATCTTGCTTTGGTCTTCAAGCGAAATGATCAGCATTGCCTCTCAGAGGTCTTTATACCCCGATCACTCACAAGGAAGCCCAAGATAGCTTGCCACTTGCAGTGCCTGCTAGCCGTTCTTTGTGCTCTTCAACTGTGTCAGTTTCTGACTTGCCTTTATGCACCAAAACCAAGCGGTTGCCAATAGAGTAAGCGGTTGTGGGATATAGAATTGCTACACAATAAGCGACGACACTGTTGTGTTTTCCTTGAACAAATGGCGGCAGTCGATACGTACAGCGCAGTGTGAGATGTATGTAAATATGTCTTACATGGAGTGTCTGGGAACTAAAAGGGACAAGGAGGATGAGGATGAGGAGGAGGAAGAGGTAGTTGAGGCACACATCCATTCAAGGGACAATTCTACAGCTACCACATAAGCAGCATCGAAGACATATCCACAAAACACGCCGGTTTTTTGATTGCGGATTTTGGGTAGGTCGGGCTTGGTTGGTTAAATCGTTGTTCTTGTCGTCGCCGTCATCTTGGATTTGGGTTTGTGTTGTTCTTTTGTTTTGATTGTATAGATAGTGTTGATTGTATAGTTGGTGTGTTTGATTGTACAGAGTTTATGCTAGTTTATGGTGCTAGTTTATGGTGCTATTCAGCCACTGTTTTGTCATGAAAGGCAAGCCAAACATGTTTGGACACATATTGCCAGAACCACTCGACAGGACCCTCGTCCACGTCAAATGTCCTTTCAACCAATGTCAGTGAACCGCATCCGAAAAAAGAGGCACGGTAGACCAAGACAAAACTGGGTGCACTACACAAAAAATATGTTTACGAAGAAACACTGTAACAGTTTAACTTTGAAGAGACCATTCAAGAGGATGCACGCATATTCAATGCAGCCAGTGCCAGATACTTTTAAAAAAAATGCAGGCACGCTTGGCTATGCCAACGCCTTTCTTCCGCTGTTGACATGTCGTGGAAGCAGGGTAGAGCAAAAAAGAGTTATTGTTTGTTGCGTTGGTGTTTGGGCGTTGATTTTGAACAGACGCCACTTCAGCACTGTGATCGTGCTGCTTTGTCACACACACATTCATCGTGCCTTGGCCTTCGATGGCATACTTGTACACTTTGCTTTGAGGAATGCACACTATCCCCACCGAAGACATGTCGCAAACTTCACAGTTAATGGAACATTTCTTTGTACTTTCTGTACAGTGCGTAGATCACAAACCTCCTCGTGGCTTAGGATGCAGGGAAAAGACACATCACTGGCCCCATCTCACCTCAAGTTGTTCTCTAACGTTGGAACCATTTGACGTTGGCGCACGGCGTGAGGAGGTCATGAATTGTGCAGCCAAATGATTTGGTTGTTTGGAATCAAGAACTCTCAAGACGCCAACAAGGGGCATTAGGAAAATGGATTCCTCACAAAGGCCACATCATTTTTTGTTGCGGCCGAAAGGCACCCTGAAACGATCAGTGGCTGCTTTGTGGATGAAGGGATCCTGAGCTGCAGTTCCACGTTCCAATAGAGCCTGGAGACGGGTGAAGGTTGGGATTTCACCAATTGTTGTGTTTGAGTTAATTCATTCATATTCATTCTAAGTCCGTATGTGAATGGAAGACTGCCTTTGCAATGATCTTGGGAGGCCGTTGCCTCTAGGTTGGAGGCCATCGGCTTTGGAGGCCATTGCTTGTAGGTTAACGCTACGTTGGAGGCCATCACGGTTGGAGGCCATCGCTACTACTGTAGTTACTAGTTTGGAGGATATTGCTTCTAGGTTTGCCTTTGGAACGATCTTGGGACCAAGAATAAAGATTTGGGAAAACTCAAGAAAGATTTACGGCGGCTATCATTTTAGAATATATATTTGGTTTGGCATCACGGTGGAATTTGGCAGTCTACCTCCCGTCATGCCCATGGTTCTTGTTCTGCAGCCGCCTGTGAGCTGAAAGAGGCAGACTTCTCCAACCCAAATTCTAGCGAATCTGCACATGATGTGCGGCATTTTCCAAAAGCAGAGGCTGTTTGGCCTGATTTCAGATTGGCTGCCATGACATGCTGTTGTTGGGCTTCCTCAAACAGCGTGGTATGCACGATATGGGATATAGAATCTAGAATTGGGCGGAGCTTACCACCCAAAGTCTTTTGAGCGAATCTGCACATGATGCGCGGCATACTTGTGGCACTGCTGTGCGGATGGGCGCTGGCTGATGTTCCTGAAAGAGATGAGTCGTGCGAGCCGCTGGAGGTGGGGTTGCATCGATTTGCATCGTCTGGAGATCTGTTCATGTGAACCTCGCACGTTGTCGGGGTTTTCATGTCGGGCATGCCGTTTCTGTTTGTTTTTGATGGTCCGCGTAGGTTTCGGCTGTTTCGAAGACTTGAAGAAGAGCTTAGCTTTCTCACCACGCAGGACCCGTCAGTCCTGATGCAGCTGGGTACGAAAAATGGCTTTGCCAGGGCCCAAGGTCGTTTGTCACCGATTGCTGCTTTCCTTGAGTTGTCATGCTACAAGCCCCAGCCGCAGACTAGAAACTCCACACTCGAGGTCGCATGGATGAAGAGCCTCAGTGGAGACGTGACCGCCACGTGCGATTTCGATGGGGCCAACCCGTTCGGAATCCAATTCATCGACCCGCTTTATTATTGCTTTGGCAACCCGCCGACTTGCTTTTGTGCCTTGGCGTGGCGTTCACGCTGCAGTTTCTTGTACTTCCGAATGCGTTTTCGAGTCGAGGTGGCGGCAACCAGAAAGATGATCCAAACTGCTACTTGGCCACCTCCACCTCAACCCCCAAAGTGTGCGATTTCGACGGCCGCCAGACCTCGTGCAGATTGGTCTTGCTAGGATTTGCCACTGAACTTTGCTTCACGCCGCCACCCAACACACGGATCCTTGGAGCCTGTGTGGAGGGAGGCGGCCCCACACAATGTTGGTACCGGAGTTGCAAGCCTTCAGGGGATCCATTGGCACCAAGCTGTGAAAAAGTCGGCACATGCTATCAAGAGGGCGAGCCCGCAACAGAATGGTGCGTCGTGGGCCCGGATGGCGGTACCCTGGTTGCCTACAACGTGTTGCTTGAGTGCTGTGACAGAGCCACCACATCACAACCAACGACCTCTCCGACCACATCACCACCAACGACCTCTCCGACCACGTCACCACCAACGACCTCACCGACCACGTCACCCACGACCTCACCGACCACGTCACCAACGACCTCACCGACCACGTCACC